CTCTCTAACCTAATCTTCTTCTTGATTTGACCATACTTAAAGTCTAGTATGACTGAATGAATAAAATCACGCTTAAATTCAAATTATACATAATATCATTTCCTTTATGACTAGCCTCTATTTTCTTCTAAGTGCTCTACCCCATTCCTAGCACGGTAGAGCAACTAGAAGTGCACGAAGCTGAATGTTTGCATAAGTAGTAAGTTGTTTAGCTGCCATGATTCCTCTATTCTTCATTCGCAAACCCAATCCATTTATGTACTGAATAACGTCAAAATCCTAAATTTACAAAAGCTACAAGTCACATTTTAATTGTTTCTAGATGACTAGGTCGACCAAATTAATTTATTCTAAGTTTGAATACCACAATTTTTAAATTGCATAAAGAAAATAACACCAATATGATCACGGAGAAAACCCTTCGCAAAGGATAAAAAACTTCGGGTACTTTGCGAGTCAACAATCCAATATAAATGATGAGACTCATAATATGGTCCAGACCCGACTAACCCTTAGTTGCCTTTGACTTTCTTCTTGTAATCACCATGGCCCTCCTAGAATGCATGTTCCTCACACCAGTTCTCGACCCGTGGTATTGTTTATCTCCTGTGGACCTCTAAGAATGAACCTCATTCTATAGCATCGAAACTCCAAGCGCCTCTTTTCAAAATTTAGTAACTAAAGGCTAATTGACGAAAGTAGATTTGATGTTTGATCAACAGTCTTGTGTGTTTTGATTTGTAGTTTAATATGAAGGTTTATAGCTTGATCAACAAATCTAAGTTTGAATGAATCTATGAATCAAATAATATGATGGTTGAATACTAAAATCAATGAAAGTGATTTGGATTTTTTAAAGGAATGTTCTATATATATATATATAACTCGAAGTTGGCCCATCGCTTGAGGGCCAAGTGGGTGGCTAGGGAGCACCATTTGAGTAGTTGTTAGTATTTTTATCATAAATTTCTCTCCCATGCTTTTGTAATTGGTATTAGAGCTTTATTACAATCCTTGAACCAAATTTGTCTAGATGAGTCAATCACTTTTCGTTCTTCCTTATCTTGATGGTAGCAATTATGCTTACTACAAGGTTAGGGTGAGAGTCTTTTAAAGTTTACGGACGAACAGGTGGGTTAGTGTAGAAAAGTATTGGATTGCACTATCTATATCTATTGCTGGTATTGCGACTCCAACAAATATCTCTACTGTGTCTAAAGATGATTTAACTGAGTGTAATTGGAATAGTAAAAGTGTCAATGTCATCTTTATTGTTATTTTTTCTTGAAAAGTTTAAACAGCTATCCATGTGTGACATTGCGAAAAAGCTTGGGATATTCTAGAAATCATAAATGAGAGAACTAAGACCATAAGTTTCGAATGTTGACCATTAGGTTTGAAAAAAAGTAAAATGAACAATGACGAGTCCTATGATGAATTCTATGCTAATCTGAATCATATTGTGAATTGGAGTTTTTACCTAGGTAAACAAATCCCTGATGATACGATTATGAGAAAGATTGTGAAATCACTACCTATGAAATTTAGACCTAAAGCCACAACTATTGAAGAAAGTAAGGATCTAAATGCTTGTGAAATCTCTCCAAACCTATGAACTTAGCTTACCCTATTCTAAGAAAAAATAAGTCTTTAACCCTAAACATTGTTAAGGAAGAGACCAGTAATCAAACTGATGATGAAATGTTAAAGAATGAGGAGGTTGCCTACCTTGTTAGGAAATATAGGAATTCAATAAAAAACAATAGGAATGATGAAAGGGAGAAGAGGGATGCTAGAGATAACAAGAAGAGGTCTTAATCTGTAAGGTGTAATGAGTGCTAGGGTTTTGAGCTTGTTAAAGTAAAGTGCCCGAATTTTAAGAAAACCCTAGGTGAGGCTTTTAATGCTACTCTTATTGATGAAAGTCTAGCTCCAATGATGAAAGTGAGAGCACCAATCCTAATGAGGGCATGAACTACTTGGCATTTTCCTCCATGGTTAAAAGTGAACATGTAGAGGAAAGTAAGACACTTGATGACAAAGTACAGTTTGACGCGTCATAGAAAAAATCAGAAGGTGAGCGCTTTTGACCAACTGTTTGAGGAAAATCTTAATTTAAAAAAGGTTAATAGCTCTACCTTTAAGAAATTACACAATCTTGAGTTAGAAAAGAAGAGTTTGAGGAGTCACACTTGAGGAGTTTACTAGAAGATTGAATAAGTTAAGGATTGAGAAAAAGTCATTAGAAGTTAAGGTTAGTACTTTTACGAGTGAACTTGAGAAATCTAGTGTCCCAACGTCAATCCTTTTCTAGCGGATCTAAGAAACTTGCCAAGATCTTAGGATTAAACCTAATAGGGATGGTTTAAGCCTTATAGATGTTGCTACCCCATCTAAAACAAAGTTTTTTCCTACCCCTAACAAGATCAAGAGTGTAGGAGTCCTAAGACCTAGATGAACCGAGCAACAAAGGTTTCCTTAATATAAGGTTCAACATTTAAAACCTAGAGTTGGTCTTAACTTCATTCCCACCTATCACAATTATGGTGAGTTGCGTCACATTATGCCTAGATGCCACAAGTTCTTAGTTAGGAACAATTCACAATATATAACTTCTCATGTTAGTTTTTTAACTAAACAAGTGAGTCACTTGACTAATATGATGATTATTTGACTAAGATGATGTCTTCTTTTAAGAATATTTAGGTAAAAAAGAGTGAATACTCTGGTCAAAGTAATGTTACAAATTGCTATGTTGCTTGATTTGCTCTTCATGGTAAGTGTTTGTGTACCTCATTAAGTAGGTCTTTAGTTGCATGCATCTACAATGTCATTTGTCTGCATATTCATGCATGCACTCTAATTTTTTCATTATCTCGTTTGTTTTGATTCTATTTAATAAACTTTAAAAGAAAAAAGGAAAAAGGTTTCTATATAACAACTTTAAGGTAATTGGACATGGTATTTTGTCATTATCTCGTTTGTTTTTAATGAATGAGGAATAAAATTTCCATTAACTTTGTCCAAAACTTGCTTAGATTACTTGGTATAAGTTATTTTATACATCTTTTGCACTGCATACATTAAGCCTTAGTGATTGGATTTGGGAGTTATCGACTTAAAGTTTATTACAGGGTCTATATATATGACTTGAATAAAAAAAAATATGTATATTTATGTGCTTACAGATAAGGGGTGAAAGAAAAATTATACAACGAAAAGTTAAGTATGTTCTTTTTATTTAAATGATCATAGTAGCACCATATTTGACTTTTATAATATGAGGAATATATATTCATTCATCGATGATTTCTTTACATGTCTTTTCTTACTAATTTAAGGTTTAAGTCTTGCTTATAGAAGATTAGTAGCATTTTTTTACACATGGGTTGCTTATATGATTTACTCCATATAGATTTATAATGAGTTACTTGGAAATAGTTCGCTATTTCTGAATTATCCTTGCATAAATAAGCAAATAATTGTTCATGTGATCATGTGATTTGACCTTTTAATATATGATGTTATATATGAAAAATTTATAAAAAAGAGTTATCTCTAATATATATATATATATTTTAATGCATTACATGTTCTGCATAGTTTGTCCATGTGCATAGTTTTTCACTTATTCTTCTTTGTGTTATTAATTATTCTATTACTTTCTTTTCTTTATTATTCATGACAAAAAGAGGAGATGTATTAGTATTTATTTTAAGGAATTGAGTAGTATATGACTTAGGGAGGCAAAGTTGATTGAATAATAGTGTTTATTTTTTATGTTTGAGTTAGGGGGTTAATATTTTGTTGACGATGTTAATGATTTGACTAGCATGGTTTGATATTTGGTATAATATTGATATTATATGTTGTGTTGCTAATTTAGCTATCATGATATTATATCTCAACTTATCATGCCCTTATTTGTTTGGTGGGGATTAAAATTAGATTTTTAGTAGATTTTGATAAGAAGTTTGGCGGGAGATTAAAATCAAAATTTTAGTAGATTTTTTATAGATATTTGGTGGGGATCAAAATCAATTTTTTAACACTCTGAAGTGTTCTTCAAGGAATTTCTTTCGTAAACATATATGGAGCTGACTTAACTTTAATGTTTTGACATATTTGTATGATTTATTGTTAGGGTTTAATATTGATTAAACTTAATCACCTAGAGACGATAATTAATGACTTGTTTCTTATTATTGGTTGTTATTTTTAATTAAGCATTATACACATTCACCCCACTAGGTGTTAGATGGGCTTAAATATCGTTATCACAATTGGTATCAAAATGGTACCCTATGCTTTTCAGATTGCAATGTTAATTTTAATCTAATATATCACTCTCTTGACTTCGAATTACATAGCTATTAAGTTATATATGATTTATAGTTTAATTGATTAAGAATCCCAAGTTGCTATTATAAAATAGGTAAGTTTACCAGTTTTTCTCGAGTTGGTGAACAACTTGACTGCAGTATCAATTTTAATATAAGGATTTTGCTATTTGTACATTCGAGCTTGACACCCCGGATGACACTCCCCTCACAAGAGGGGGGCCCACAATTATTTTATTACATGTGGGCCCCCCTCTTGTGAGGGGAGTGTCATCTGGGGTGTCAACTTCGGATGTACAAATAGCTTTATTGTTAATATAATATGTCCATGTGCCGACTTCTATGGAACTAGCAAGTTGCATGTGATGGCTTATTTAATGGATTAAGAATTCCAAGTTGCTATTATACAATAGGTTATTTTTTAGTTTTTCTTACCGAGTCTTCATTTTGCCTCTAAACGCTGGCTGTTCATCGATAATCTTGAGTTTGTGTGCCTGAAAAAGTATTGGATATGGCTTATGCTGCTCTACTTTCACTTACTCAAACACTAGAACAGATCCTGGGTTCCCACCCTGAAGAGAAGCAGATCAAATCTCTCCATGAAAAGCTTAGCTTCTTGCTATCATTTCTGGACGATTCTTCGCCCAAAATACTGAATCAATGACACATTTGGAAGCAAGAATTAGAGATGCAACATATGAAGCGGAAGACATAATTGAATTGCATATGTCAAAAAAGATTCTCTCAGATGAAGCAGAAGATATAACCGAATTGCGTATGTCAAAACAGATTCTCTCAGAATCTGCATGCCAAGGAGTTATCAGCTGTTTTTGGGCAATAATTGCTGCACTCAAAATTATGATGCCCGTGTTCCATAATTCTGAGAAACATGAAGGCTTACAGAAGGTAATAAAAGATATTGATTCCATTTTGGAAGATGTGGAGAAGATGATCGGCACGAAAGACAGAATGTTCATCAAAGTCCTGTTCCAGTAACAAGAGTGCTGTAGTGGGATCTGATAATGACTCGATGCAAATTAAGGATCCGCTCAGTGGACCACCTCCTGAATTCAAAAGCACCTCAATTGTTGGAATTGAAGACATTGGTAAGACTAAACTGACCAAGCTGCAAGATCAAATGACTATAGTTCATTTCTTTGTCCTAATATTTTTGTTAAAATCCGTCACATCTGCACTTCATTATACTACCAATTTACATGTTATTTATGTATAATCTTGAATGAATTACTTTTATTTATATTTTCACACTTTTGTATCTGCCTTGTTTATTCTTAAAGGTTGAGATAATGAAAACAGAGGCTTGTATGTCTAAAAACTCCACAAGACATCAAACTGCAAGTTAAAGGTTTGATGGTCCATGTCATGTTCTAGCCAATAAGAAATTGAATTCCACTATCATTTTAAATCTTGAGAAAATGAAAAAGAAAGTTGAATGGCAATTAGAAGTTAGATACAAGTTAGTTAAAATGTTACGTAGAAGAAATATTAATTTTCTCCGTCTTTTGAAAAGAATATGGCAAATAATTGCAGTGACAAATATTTTTTAGGTCATTCAATCAAAATATTTTCTCAATCTTTTCAATCTCAATTCTATTTCAGAAGTGGTGGGGAAGACTAATGATCAAAATGACGTACAAGATCTAAAACCAAGGAACTCGTTGCGTGCTACTTCATCAAAATCTACTTCCACTAAAAAGATTACTATGGTGGGATTTGAAGATGAATTGCTCCAAATTAAGGAAGAACTGGTTGGGCAATCCTCTAGGTTGAAAATCATTTCAATCGTCGGAATGGGAGGCATTGGCAAGACAACACTTGCCAGTGATATTTATGATGATTCATTTATTAAGGAGCACTTCCACATTCGGGCCTGGACAACTCTATCTCAGGTGCGAGAACTGCTTGTAGACCTTCTAAAATCCATGGGAGACTTCATTGATGAAATGATTCCATATGAAACAGATGAATTCAAAACCCGAGTATATCAACGTTTGAGGGGCTATAGATATCTCATTGTAATGGATGATGTGTGGGACATCAAAGCCTTAGATGAACTTAGAAGCATATTCCCGGACGTTAATAATGGAAGTCGGATAATTTTGACTACTCGGCTATCCGATGTGGCTGTTTATGCAGGATCTTCTAGCCCTACTCATCATCTGAGTTTTCTATGTCCAGAAAAAAGCTGGACTCTTCTGTGCCAGAAGGCGCTTGGGAACGAATGCTGTCCTCCTGAGCTTGAGGAAATTGGGAAGAGGATTGCAGAAAAATGCGGAGGACTTCCACTTGCACTCGTTGTCATTGGTGGTGTCCTCTACAAAGCGGAGAAGACACAAGCCCACTGGGAGTTTGTTGCAGAAAATGGAAAATCTACTCTAACTGGAAATAATGATGATTTAATGGAGATACTGTCTTGGAGTTACAACCACTTGCCTTACCATCTTAGAGCATGCTTCCTGTATATGGGAGTTTTCCCTGAAGATTATGTGATCCACGTCACCCATCTTAATGTAAGTATTATGCCCTAGATCCAATCAACTTTGGACATAAATACTTTTATATATATAATTAATGCAATTAAATGGCAGATCTATTATTTAATTAATAGACAATTAATAAATAATAGAGTCCGTAGATTCAAATCTTTGTAATTTGTTAATTACAAGGAGTTGTGATTGTGAGACACAAATTACATCTAATTGAATCTTAAATCATCCGTGGTCGTAAGTAATAACGAGATACGAAAATCGTTATTACAGATAGACCATCACGTGTGGCATTTCTTACTTGTGAAGTAAGTAGCTGATCTCACAAGCTAAAGTGTGGAGACACTTAAATGAACACGTGGATGTTTTGTTATAGAACAAAACATTGGAGACCCGTCGAGAGATTCCACATGGATAACTATCTGAGTGTCAGTGGTTAATCTCTAACGTTCGGTAGTGGAATTGGTCCTTTGACTTGAGGTCGTCATGGTACCTTATATGAGGACAATCATACTTTGGCGATGTTGGATGTTGCTCTGAAAAGGGCCACTAATACGACATCATTCGGGTGCGTCAAGAATCGTATGAAGGTTGTGATTGATCAATAAAGGATTCGTCACTCTTAGATAGTAGGAGATTATGATCTGCGTTTCATTCAATTAAGTCAATAATGAAATCCTTGGCCAAGGTATACTCATAAGTTGAAAAGGAATTTTCGATTTATATTGACTTAATAGTGGAGTGAAAGATATGATCGATGATAAAGATTGACACAATTCCATATCTCGTAATTGATCGGATCATATTGACGAAGGGATTATAGTTTCAAGATAAACGAACGAATTTGGTTTTGTCATACCACGCGACATTTTCCGTCACATGTATTGCCCTGACACATTGCTAGATGTCACTCAGGGACGGCGAGTGTGAATTGACGATAAATTAAAAGGGTGTTTTAATTTATCAATTTTGATTAGATCAAAATAATATTTCACATCGTTAGGCATCGTGGTCGGGAACCTAATGGGTCACACACAAAAGAGAATTGGAAGATTGCAAATTGCCAATTAGTTAATTTAACAATCGTTGGATAAATTAATTAATTGGATTTGTTATTTATATTCCCGAATTAATTAATTGGATTAATTAATTCACGGATCGGGTTTAATTAATTGGATTAATTAAATATTGGACCGGACCGGGGCCGAGCCCATTTGGGTTTATATAAGTATATAGCTAGGGTTTGAGGTCCAAATGGTTTTCATTATTCTTGCTGGCACAAGAGAAAACCCTAGAAGCTGCAATCTTATTCTCTGTGTGGATCACCGTTGGAGGCTGGACAATTGGACAGCTGTGGTGGCGAATCAAGGTTGATAGAACGAAAAGAAAAGCAGAAAGATTGCAGATCTGAAAAAGGTAAAATCTTATCACAATTTCTATCTAAACACAAAGGCGATTCTTGGTGGGAATCGAAAATTATTTTAAATTCCGCTGTGCATGTATAAGTAGATTCCCAACGCTTAACATGTTATGGGTTGCTGAGGGATTTATAAAGCCAATTGCACATAATAATTTGGAGGAAGTGGCAAAGAAGTATTTGGAAGAACTTATTGATAGAAATCTAATTATGGTTCATTACCGGATTTACACTGGTGAAATCATAACCTGCAGCATCCATGACATAATGAGAGAACTGTGTGTGAGGAAAGCTCAGGAGGAAAAGTTTCTTTACATTACCGATCAAAAAGTTGAGATTTCTCTGGAAGTCATGAAAAATCAGCGTCATCTAAGTATTCATCGAAAAATGCAGTATGACATATCGGACATATATGACCCAACTATCCGTTCGCTTCTATACTTCACAGATAGTCTATTGCCAAATTCTCTATGTTTTCAGCTGCTCAAGGTGTTGGAAGCAGGCGATATAAATTTCTCTAAGTTTCCAATTGAAATAGTAAAACTTGTTAATTTAAGGTATATTGCCACCGCCGGCGAGGAGCGGCAGTGGCGCTCGTTGGCACAGTCTAGGGCAGCGGCGAGCAGCAGCCTCTCGCTGGAGGAATTTACTGTAGTAGCGTCGTGCGCTGCTACAGACTCAGGAAGTCGCCCGAGGAAAGGGGCGGCGACCATCAATTGAAGCGAAACAAAAATTTTTTTTTTTAGGTTTTTAGTCGGTTTTGGGGAATTGGAGGCGGGGGCCTCTGATGCAATTTGTGAAATTTCAAGCCCCCGTTTGCAATATCCATTTGGGGTCAATTTGTGAGTTATTTAAGTAAGGGACCGTTTTGAATTATTTGATATTGAAGACCCTTGTAATTTCACTTCGGTGGTAAAGTTGTAATTTTCAAATAAGGGCCTATTCTTGTAATTTGTGAAATTGCGAGGGTTGGTTCTGAAATTTTTGAAAATTTGAGACTTTGATTATAAATTTTGACTTGGGTCAAATTTCAATTTCCAAATGTTTTTGAATTGGTTTTAAAATTGTTTTTCAAATGGGTTTTGACCTATTTTGGCTAAAGTTTTAATTTTGACTCAAATTAAAAATCTTATTTATTAATTGACGACATTTTATATTTTCGTTAAAATTGGATTTTAACTTAAATATTATACTTTGACCTCAATTGAATTTTATTTTATTTAGGAATGTTATCCTAAATTAAAATATTAATTCATTTTAATTTAGAGTTGGACTCTAATTTAGCATTTAATTAAAATTAGATTTTATTTAATTATTCACCCCGAATATATTCTAGAAATTAGAATTCGATTCTAATTTGACATTTAATTAAAATTTGATGTTAATTAAATTATCCCGCCCTAAATTTCTTCTTAAAATTAGAGTTGGAGTCTAATTTTACCATTTAATTAAAATTTGATTTTGATTAAATTTGTTCGCCCTTAAATTTTGAAATTAGAGTTTGACTCTAATTTGATATTTAATTAAAATTTGATTTTAATTAAATTATCCCGCCATATAATTGTCGAATTAGAATCGGACTTTAATTCGGTATTTAATTAAAATTTGATTTTAATTAAATATGCCCGCTAATTAAATAATTGATTAATATGATTAATTGATTATTTAATTATTCCGATCCATAAATCTAAAAGAGTTTAGATGATGTTAACTTGAAACATGTTAGGATATAATATTAGATATTATATAGGTATACATTTATGTGATGAATGTATTATTAGTGGACGATTATGGACTCGACTATATGGATGTGTTGAATGGTTAATCATTGTTATTATTGTTACTATGGGCCTGCGAGCTCTTAATTGTTTTGGGTCTGCGAGCCCATTATTATTGTTATTATTTTGGACCTGCGAGTCCATTATTATTATTGTTACTATGGGCCTGCGAGACTCATGAATGCAAAATCCCTCCATAAAATATTAAGTCACATTTGTAATCGCCTTCCATCATTATAGTGAAAAATCAGAGTCCCAAATCGTCTCAGCTTGTTGAGTACACTCAAGGCTGGTCCATTAGGAATATGTTTGACACTATGGAATATTTGATATTTCTGAATGATGGGTTTGACTTAACTAAAATTTATCTTTTGTTGAGTACACTCAAGGAGATAAATTTTAGAGGCATATTAAGCTAACACATAAGATGTGTGAAAACAAAGAGTTGTCAGCTTAATAATTTGGGAGTTGTATGGAGATACAATTGATAATAGTATCTACCCAAATATTATATTAGGGCTTGTTGAATATACTCAAGGTCTTAATATAATAGATGAGATCCCAACCCACTGGGAGTCAAGTATGGACTCCATAAATTTATGTAAGAGGGTCATAAATTTTATTTAAACAGTGGGAGCATAATTAATTTAATAAAAGACCATATTAAATTAATTGATGCATTTTATATATTATTCTTTCCTTTTTGTCATTTATATTTATTGAATCTGAGTAACCATATGTTTTGAATGGCATACTAGATGCCAACAACCAAACTATATTTTCTTAATTGACACTGCAATCTAAGAATTGTTCTTATGCATGAGAAAATTGGTCACGTCCTTGAGTAGCCATTTCCAGAGACACCTGGTGATGACTCGATTAAAGAAGAGGTGGCTACTATAGTAAACGCAGTGATGATAATAGAACTGCAACGTATATGATACTTGCAGCTATGTCACTGAGTTATAAAAGCGACTTGAAAGTATAGATGTTGACACATAATCCTTCATTATAAAGGGTTATATGATAATAATCGTGTGTGGAAGGATATGAGACTTCCGAACAACTATACGTGTGCAAAATGACAGAGTAATCTTCAATCGATACTTAGACACTGACGATGATTGACGTTGAGAAATGTCTCAATTGAGTTCAATTACAAACCATGAACTAAGTAGTGACTTGGTTCTGCAATCTCTCTCAGAGAAAGCTATTCATAACTAATTATGAAATTAACGTGAATAAGCATGAATGCGCAATTATTGAGTTGCTTAATATGCTTAAGACTGTTAAGCCCAACATCAAAGTTAGTAGTGGGCAAGTCATTGATTCCTCTAAAAATATTAAGAGGAAGGGGCTTTGTGAAAGCGTCCAATATGGTCAAGACAGTGTAAGCAAATGATAATACCAAATATAATGACCCTTGGTTTCATTATAGAATGAAAGGTCATTAGAAGGAATATTGTATGGCTTACGTCTATTTCACAAGTTTCTTAGGTATCTGATACCAGATATAAATCCCATATTTATATAAATATGGAGAAACTAAATAGAAGTATAATACTGCGAAAGGAAGAAGTTAACCTACATGATGGAGATGAACAAATGTTGCTGCATTGCTTGTAGGAGCATACTTCTTACCGTTGCCCTTTGACTTAGTAATGGAATTAGAGAAATGTTGCTTTGTACCCACTATAGCTAGAACATTAAAATGAATTTCATGTTCAGACATGAAGCATTTTAATGTTAAGAACAATTGTTGTTCCTGCATATCTTGATTAAGATCTTAATAGTTGTGGTAAGTTACAAAATAACATTTGTATTCTAAATACTAAGGATTCTATAATGAGTATAGAAATTATAAGGCATAAATGCGATAATCTAATTATTATCGAGATCTGGCATGACAGACTTTGTCATATAGATAAAAAGTAATTCCAAAGTTACATAGAGATGTATACTTGGGATTAACTGATTTTGACAAGTACAAATTATGCATGTCTGGTACAATGACCAAATCTTCTTTTAATTGAAAAGAAGAAAGGTCAGCATAATTACTGGTCTAATACATAGTGATGCATATGGACTCATGTCAAAAGATGCCAGGTAATGTTTCTCTTATTTCATCAATGATCATGGATACTTGATGAAAACTCAAACATGAAATTCTTGAAAAAGTTCAAGGGATTCAAACTAGAAGTAGAGAAACAAATAGGTAAAGATACCCACACATTAAGATTTGACCAAGTGAGAGTATTTTAAAGATAAAATTTAGATTATCTAAGAGAGAATGTGATTCTCGTGCAGTGGACTCTTTTATATACACTGCAGCAAGATGGTGTATCTAAAAGGAGGAATCGTTAATTATTACATATAATGCGATTAATAACGAGCCATGCAAATTTCTCAAAATTGTTTTGAGGTCACGCATTGATTGCAGTATGCAATACACTAAACTATGTCCCATCTAAATTGGTTAACAGAACTCCATACGAGTTATGGAAAGACAATAGTCCCAATTTGTCTTGTATGAAAGTTTGGGGCCATGACGCTTATTTGAAGCGCCTTAAATCGGATAAGTTTGAGACTGAATCCGATAAATACATATTTGTGGGATATTCAAATGAGACATTTGAATATAAATTCTATTATCATGAAGAAAGTCTTCACCTCACGACATATCGTCTTCTTAGAGAAAATGTTTACTCTTGGAGAAGACAGTGGGAGTAAAATAGAATTTGAAAGAGTTCAAGAATCCACAGATATAATTAACCAAGTAGATAAATCCGAGTTTGATCCCATATCTGATATGGGACATACTTTGGATGAGGAAGTAAAGACTCATGAGGACATGACGGCTCTATGTGAATCTAGTAGGATCATTCGACCTTCAAGAAGGTGCGAATCCATGATCATTAATCAGGTATTAGTGATCCAGGGCATGAACCTGCTAGTTGCAACAAAATAAAGTCAAGTGTTGACTTAAAAGAGACAGCATGAGGCCATGATACTCTAGATGAACTCGGCGTATGTGAACAAGGTTTGGACCTTGGTTAAGCCTCCTAATGGAATAAAGTCCATAAGCTTTTGTAAATAGTTTACAAAAGAAAAGGTCGATATGGATATAAATATGAATATCCATATATACAAAGCAAGGCTAGAAGTAGAGGTTAAATGTTGACCTTGGTGAAATATTTCTCCTGTAGCCTTGCTTAAGTCCATTCGGGTTTTGTTTGCAACAGTTTCATATCGTGACTATAGGTTAATAGAAGTCTCTTGGAGCTGAAATCTTAGATTTGATGAAAATTCAAAGTGTTTGATTTTATCAAATTTGGAAGACGAATTGTGTATTTACAAGAAGATAGTGGGAGCATTGTCGTGTTCCTAATATTAAAGAAAACGATATCCCTATGTTTCAATCGTTGAAAAATGGTTGTTAAATGATTTATTCATAAACGAAATGGGATAAGCAACTTGATTTATAGAGGTAGATCTAGAAGATTGCTTAACTCATCCCAATTTACATAGATGAAATCTTGAGAAGATTTCATATGGAGAAACTGGTTTACTCTTAAGCGGTATATTGGAAAGGTTCCAAACGTGAAGCAACCGTTGATTCAATAGTAGAAACCTAATACATGGATACTTCAGAAGTAGCAAAGAGTTGCAATATGGATCATGATGTTCATAAATGAACTTGGAGTAGTTCCTGATATTGTTGATCACATACAATAGTATTGTGATAACAATAGAGCCATTGTGAAAGCAAAGGAACTAAGATCTCATCAATGATCCAAACATGTATTAAGGCGGTATAATTTCATCAGAGAGATAATACATAGAAATGACGTAAAGAGAAGAACAAATTTCCACATTTAATAATATTGCAGATCCACTGACAAAGAGTTGTCGTAGTATAAACAAGATCGTCATGTAGACTTATGATATTTGATACATAAGTGATTGGATCTAGTGCAAGTGGGAGTTTGTAAGTATTATGCCCTAAATCCAATCAACTTTGAACATAAATACTTTTATATATATAATTAATGCAATTAAATGACAGATTTATTATTTAATTAATAGACGATTAAATAAATAATAGAGTCCGTAGATTCAAATCTTTGTAATTTGTTAATTACAAGGAGTTGTGATTGTGAGATACAAATTACATCTGATTGAATCTTAAATCATCCGTGGTCATAAGTAATAATGAGATACGAAAATCGTTATTACGGATAGACCATCACATGTGGCATTTCTTACTTGTGAAGTAAGTAGCTGATCTCACAAGCTAAAGTGTGGAGACACTTAAATGAACACGTGGATGTTTTGTTATAGAACAAAACATTGGAGACCCGGCGAGAGATTCCACATGGATAACTATCTGAGTGTCAGTGGTTAATCTCTAACGTTCGGTAGTGGAATTGGTCCTTTGACTTGAGGTCGTCATGGTACCTTATATGAGGACAGTCATACTTTGGCGATGTTGGATGTTGCTCTGAAAAGGGCCGCTAATACGACATTGTTCAGGTGCGTCAAGAATCGTATGAAGGTTGTGATTGATCAATAAAGGATTCGTCACTCTTAGATAGTAGGAGATTATGATCTGCGTTTCATTCAATTAAGTCAATAATGAAATCCTTGGCTAAGGTGTACTCATAAGTCGAAAAGGAGTTTTCGATTTATATTGACTTAATAGTGGAGTGAAAGATATGATCGATGACAAAGATTGACACAATTCCATATCTCGTAATTGATCGGATCATATTGACGAAGGGATTATAGTTTCAAGATAAACGAACGAATTTGGTTTTGTCATACCACGCGACATTTTTCGTCACATGTATTGCCCTGACACATTGCTAGATGTCACTCAGGGACGGCGAGTGTGAATTGACGATAAATTAAAAGGGTGTTTTAATTTATCAATTTTGATTAGATCAAAATAATATTTCACATCGTTAGGCATCGTGGTCGGGAACCTAATGGGTCTCACACGAAAGAGAATTGGAAGATTGCAAATTGCCAATTGGTTAATTTAACAATCATTGGATAAATTAATTAATTGGATTTGTTATTTATATTCCCGAATTAATTAATTGGATTAATTAATTCACGGACCGGGTTTAATTAATTGGATTAATTAAATATTGGACCGGACCGGGGCCGAGCCCATTTGGGTTTATATAAATATATAGCTAGGGTTTGAGGTCCAAATGGTTTTCATTATTCTTGCTGGCACAAGAGAAAACCCTAGAAGCTGCAATCTTATTCTCTGTGTGGATCACCGTTGGAGGCTGGACAATTGGACAGCTGTGGTGACGAATCAAGGTTGATGGAACGAAAAGAAAAGCAGAAAGATTGCAGGTCTGAAAAAGGTAAAATCTTATCACAATTTCTATCTAAACACAAAGGCGATTCTTGGTGGGAATCGAAAATTATTTTAAATTCCGCTGTGCATGTATAAGTAGATTCCCAACGCTTAACATGTTATGGGTTGCTGAGGGATTTATAAAGCTAATTGCACATAATAATTTGGAGGAAGTGGCAAAGAAGTATTTGGAAGAACTTATTGATAGAAATGTAATTATGGTTCATTACCGGATTTACACTGGTGAAATCATAACCTGCAGCATCCATGACATAATGAGAGAACTGTGCGTGAGGAAAGCTCAGGAGGAAAAGTTTCTTTACATTACCGATCAAAAAGTTGAGATTTCTCTGGAAGTCATGAAAAATCAGTGTCATCTAAGTATTCATCGAAAAATGCAGTATGACATATCAGACATATATGACTCAACTATCCGTTCGCTTCTATACTTCACAGATAGTCTATTGCCAAATTCTCTATGTTTTCAGCTGCTCAAGGTGTTGGAAGCAGGCGATATAAATTTCTCTGAGTTTCCAATTGAAATAGTAAAACTTGTTAATTTAAGGTATATTGCTTTGTCCTACACAGGGATATTCAAGATTCCTGCCTCAATAGCTAAACTTTGCAATCTTCAGACCTTGATTGTTTTTCGAAATTTTAAGGGTAAAATATTGTTACCAGAGGAACTCTTGAAGATGCCACGGTTAAGGCATCTCTTGTTCGATGAAGCTTTCTTGCTCTGTTCTCATGGTCCACAAAATGCGAACCTACAAACACTTTCTGGTGTAATAGATTTCGGATTCACTCAGGAGGCCCTTCAAATAATTCCAAACCTGAGGACGTTGGGAATTTCTTACTATTGTGACCGTGAAACTGGGTTGTCATTATATTGTCTTGAGAATTTAGTCCTCTGCTTGAACAACTTGAAAGTCTTAAGTGCAATTTCTGGAGACATATTCCTCTGCTTCAGAACCTTGCTTTCCCACCAAATCTGAAGAAGTTAACTTTGAGTGGTTGTAGAATTTCTTGGCATAATATGTCTCTTGTTGGTTCTCTTCACAATCTTGAAATTCTCAAACTAAAACACGTTGTCTTTGAAAGCACTTCATGGAAAGCAAAAGAAGGGGAATTTTCTCGATTAAAATTCCTGCTTGTTGACAGGAATTTATTGGAATTCAGGGAAGCCGAGGCAGCACATTTCCCAAGCCTTCAGATCCTATGTCTTAGGCATTGCCCCTTTTTAAATTGCATCCCTTCTGAAATTGGAGAAATTCCAAGTCTTCAGTTAATCATCTTGTATGAATGTCGGTTATCTGTTGTTATTGCGGCACATTCAATGCTAGAGGAGCAACAAGAGTTGGGAAACGATGACCTTGAGGTTCATGCCTTTTCATATTCAGATGGAAAAACTTACCATGGCATCTCCAATCGTAAGGTAAAACTTACCCTTTGGGCATAAAGTATCTGTAAAGAAAAAAATTTCATTGTGCATTAGCCGCAATAGTGAGGACACTTTTTTTATATAACTTTTGTCTTTCAATGCACTGCCTCACATGCATGCCAATATGGATGCTCATTAAAGTTCTCATAGGTGATAATTTTTCATAAAAGAGTGATAGCAAAAGTCGAACTTCGTTGTTTCATCTACTCCTATACTATGTTAAATCTACAATATTTTGATTACTACGATACTTCGTTAACCTAGTTTAATATATTAAATAAAGAGGGGCTAGACATATACAATTAAATATAAATTTTTTACCCCTTCATTTTTTTTCTTGTTTTGACTCAAAGAATCTTTATTGCATGGATATAGCTTGATTTCACTCAAAGAATAATAATAATAATAATTAGGTGATATATAGCCTAATTTCTTACAGAAGATCGCCCCTAAGTTTAGTCCCCTTCAAATAATTTTAACTTTTAGGTAATTTGGTCAACATGGTATCACGTAAAGCAAAATATTAGGTTCAAGCATACCATGAGAAAATGAATTCAACTTTAAATTGGGAATGGTGAATTTAGATTTGGGAAACATTAGTTTAATCAACTTTATCAATTCTTTTTCTCCTTGACATTCATTTTTGCAGATGTATGCAGCACGCCAGAAACGCATCATAGAGTACAAACTCTGGTAAGTTCCGTGAGTCGTTAATTTAAACATATATAGCATTCATCGATTAATTTTTAATTATGTTAGAACATTTTTTACTAAACTTTTGGTTTGCTGCTAATTATGTTATTCTTCATTTTTGAAATTAGCTATTGCAGAGACATAGATTTCTTTGCCTGACGTATGTGTTCAAAATCGGAAAATTTCAACTGCTGTCAATTAATTTTTAATGAAATTTTAAGTGTTACAATAAACTTTAATTTGTTTCAATCGAGTCCCAAATTTCAATTTAGTGTTCTTATCTTTCTTAACTACAATATAAAATTTCAAACAATTAAGATTTTATTTTTCTTGAAAAATTTATATTGGTTGAAAGGGTGGGCTCGATCATGGAAGGCACTTCATGGCTTCGTTCTTTTATTTTCTCTTAGCAAACGTACAATAATTTATATGCCTCTGTCAAGAGTTATGCAGATTATGAGAGAGACTTTGAAGTAAAACGTCAGATGCCTTCAAAACGGTAAGCTAATTGAGTCCTTTGTGTCGAACTCTAGGCTTTCCCTTTTATAATGGTTCCAATCGAGGGTTTTCTCCTCCTATTCTAAAGCCTTTTTTCTTTTTGTATTTAATGATAATAATTTTCTAAGTTTTAGTCTACTTTAAAATGTAATTCTGAATCTAACAAGGGACACCACGTGTACGTTGGTAGTTAAATTTTCTCTCTTTGTTTTGTAACTTAAAGCAGTATAATACACAATATTGGGTCGAGGTTTGATGTTAACAAAGAGAAAAGTGTCAAAGATGAAGGTTGGGTTTTGAATTACTTAAATACCATTTACTATTAAAAATTAATAAATCTATATGAATTAAGTAGATGTACAAATTTTATTGATAAAAGTTGAACATGGTTAGGATGTAATTAACAAAGGTCTTGAATTTATGCACTAAACTTTATTATCTACTAAAATGAAATTGTCCTGCACCATCATTCAATTTAATAATTTTGAATTTTATTCATGGCTATTTTTTATTTTCGAGTGTAAAGAAAATTTTGTAAGATCATAGGTCGAGCAGGGCCCAACACAATGTAGACCCTCCTAAGCTAGGTTTGGGGTAGAAAGTTATTCAGGTTTTACAAAAGTGGTAATGTGATTTATCAAATTCCTATACGATCTAGAATTCAAGTTATCAAATTTGTCTTAATTTATGGAACTATTTATGAATTGTAAATTGTCTGTGCATGAATATACATTTCTGAAATTTAAGTAGTTATATATGTTTTGATGCATTGGCTAATAAAATCAATTGTTTGAACTTCCCACTATAGATTTTGGAGGAAAGCTAATATGATGCAAAAGGAATTAGACTTTATGGCAAAGTGAGATCGGTGCAAGCAAAAAAGGGCAACTTCTCGATTTCGAGTAAATTCCTTTGTTTAGGCTTTTGTTTATATATATATAATATTATTTTTTTTTTTGCCTTTTTTGATAATTTCTGTTTTTGTTATATCTTAATCAAATAAATTCATAATTGAATTCTATTTGTTGGAGGATGATTCAGATGATTAGGACTTTCAATTTTAGTCATTATCTCGATTTCTTTTTTCATTTTTGGAAAAAATCTTTTTATTATTATTATTATTTATTTTTTTTTGAATTTCCTTAGGGTTTTCGCTATATAAAGCATTATAAACCCTTTTGAGGCGGCATTGATTGAAAGAAATAAAAACTTTCTTGAGTTTTTCATCTTTGTAAGATTTATTCATCTTTCATATAAGTTTCGCTACATCAAAAGCACAAGATTAGACATTGTTGAGGTAATTTTGATATATGTGCCAATTTTGCTGAATAATCTTCATGTATCTATTGCATGCATTTATAGTATTTACAACGGTATATAAGGAAGGAAATAAATATGTACAATTGGAATAAAATCCCTAAACTAATCTCCTAATTTCTGTGATTTGTCAAGACTTATTCATGAAACTAAATAAACCTTTAGTACCCCTCTCAAATTGGTGTTGGTGAGTCCACAAACATCTATTTGTTACGAGAAAATTAGGACGGAGACGGGTCAAGGATTTGGTAAAATATCTGTGACCTGTTGTATGGAGGAAACATGGGAAAGAGCAATGATCATGGAAACGTTGGCATACAAAGAATTAGCTACAACATGAATAGAACTAATGTTGTCACCATGAAGAGGTGAAAGCTATAATTGGAAAAAATCAATTTCTGCTAGAAGACCATGCAATCACACAATCTCAGAACATGCAGCTGACATAGCACGTTATTCAGCCTCAGTGAAAGACTTGAAAACACAGTCTTATTTCTTACATTTCCAACAAATGAAAGCATCACCAGAAAAATACACCATCCAATAGTAGATCGATGAGAATCAGGACAACTAGCCTAGTCAGTAACACTATAAGTGATAAGATCAAGACACATTTCCCTATGAAAGAGCAAACCACGAAAAGGAGTCCCAATAAGATAGTGAATAATGTGTTGGATAGCTACCAAACGAAGATGACGGGGGCATCCATAAATTTGCTGACAGTATGGACTGTTAAAGAAATATTTCAATGTGTAATAGTGAGATAGATGAAACTACCCACCAACTTTCGATAAAGAGTGGGATCAAAAAGTAGATCGTCTTCGTCTTTTCGATATTTGACATTAAGTTCCAATGAATTATCAATAGAGGAGGCTTCAAATAAATCACCCAACTGAATCAAGTCCTAAATATATTTATGTTGATTCAAGAAAATACCATGTGGTGCAATATAAACTTCTAAACTAGGAGACTAGCACGAGAACAGTGTCAACAGTACCCTTTGAAGAAATAAAGATGCGTCATACTGGCTGTGAATAAAGGAGAACTCCAAAAGAGTGCGATAGAACTACTCAAACCACGCTCGAGAGACCTACTTAAGACCATACAAAGAACGTTTTAGCTTATATGCAAGTCAGCTGAGGGTAGAAGTATACCAGTTTAAAATTATGAACAAGCCTTTCAATTTCACAAATTGCGTGACAATCCCTTTCTTTAAAATTGCAAATTGACCCTAAAAATTAAATTGCAAATAAGGGCTTGTAGTTTTGTAAATTTCAACAAAAGCCCTTATCTCCCAATCAACTTACCCTATACCCGAAAGAAATTTTCCCTCTCTTTGTTGTAGCAGTAACAACTAGCACTAGTCTAAAAAAGTAACGACAATGTGCCATCGCTATCACACAGAGGTGTCGCACCGCTTGGTCCAGTAGTCGGCGATTAACAAAGTAACAACGCTGTGTCGTCAGTGTCATACAGTGTGGTGCACCACCTCGTCCAGCAGTATTGATGACAAGCGCCACATCTAACTGTTGTTGTTTCTTCGCCACCTTATACGAGGGCAGCGTGTGACTGAGAGCTCTACCACCCAAGTCAGTGACAACCATTGCCGCCAAATCACCATTGGCCAACTGCTGTTCCGACCCATTTTTTGATCCAAAAATTATTTTCCTTTCAAACAGATTTTGAAGATGAAAATTAATTTTCTCAATAGCTAAATCATGAAAAATTAGCAATCAACTATTTATTATTTCCAAAGATTCAAACACAATCTCTAACAAACACAAAACATTCTAATCCTCTCTCAAAACTCCAAAGTAGCTCAAAGCGTATAAAAGTCATATATGGTATGTTTGTATACCGTATATGGAGCCATCGTCGTGTATAGTATAGCATGTGAAGTGAGGCTTAGGCTGTATAGAGGCTCTGATATCACTATCGAAAATTTAGTTATCATGCAAAGTGAAATTTAAATAATATTTCAATTCCCACCAAAGATTCTCTTTGTATTAGATAGAAACTTTTGTAGGAATTATACAGTTATTGAATTATGCAAACTCATTTGGTTATCTTGAAAACTAACAATGACGACTTGAAATTCATAAATGTACAATTGCCCTACCTCTAATGAAAATTCACACAAGAAACAATAGTGAGATAATTATGGTTTCTCTTTTCTTGTGCTAGCATGACAATAATTGTGTTATTGTGTCTTTAAACCCCATCAGTTCATTGATAGAAGTTTAAGTGGGCTTTATTCATTCCTTAAACTTAACACAGTCCAATATTTAATTAATCTAATTAATTAACTCGGATCTATTAACAAGCAACTCAACTAATTGTCCAATGCTCGTCAATTAATTAATACAAAATCATTCTTCTAGGTCTCATTTTGTATGTGACCCTTTAGAGATGTCTAATGATGTGAATTATTATTTTGACCTAATTAGAATTGATAAAATTAAAATATCCCATTTTAGTTTTTCGTCATTTCATATCCATAATCTCAAATGGACAAGTAACAATGTGTAAGGGTAACACATGTGGTGAAAAATGTCACGTGGTATGATAAAATCAAATTTGTTCATTTACCTTGAAACTATAACCCCTTTGTCCATATGATCCAATCAATCACAAGATATGGAAGTGTAACAATCTCAATAATCAATCATATCTTTCATCCAACTCTTAAATCAATATAAGTCAAAAACTCTTTTCAATTTATGAGACACATTGACCAGGGAATTCATTATCTACTTAACTGAATAAAATATAGATTTTAATCTCTTACTATTTAATAGTGACGAATCCACTGTTAATCATTTACAACATTCATATGATTCTTGACAAACCCTAATGATGTTGTACTAGCGACTATTGGAAAAGCAACATCCAATACCACCAAAATATGACTGTTCCCATCTATGGCACTATGATGATCTCATGTTGAAGGACCAATTTCACTATCGAACATTAGAGATTAGTCATTGATACTTAGATAGTAATCCATTTAGAATCCCTCCAATGGGTCTCTAGTGTTTTGTTCTAGCAAAAAATTCATGTATTCATTTGAGTATCACCACGCCTGTAAGATCAGTTATTTACTTCACAAGTAAAAAATGTCACACGTGAAGGTCTATTTGTAATAATGATATTCATGCCTTGTTATTACTAATGGACATGGATAATTTAAGATTTGTAATTTGTATCTCTCAATTACAACTCTTTGCGATTAACAAAGCCTTGTTCTACGAAATCTATTATTTAATTTATTAGAATATTAATTTGATTAAATAATACATAAGTCAATTTTATATTAAAAGTATTTATGTCCAAATTCGATTGGAGTTGGGACATAACCCTTATGGTTGCAACTTGGAAAATCAAGTAGACATTTTTGAAACAATTTAAAGCTCGCTAGAATGAATTTGTATCAATATAGAAATTTCTTAAACACTTGGAACACGGCATTAGGAGGGGCTATGTCAAAGATTTTACACAATGTTTCCAATGTTTTGCTTCCCCACCATGTTTCGAGAGAAATAAGGAGTGATTATATTTCTCCAATCCTTGTCCATTCATAACAAGATATAGGCAACTGACTTGTCATTGTCCCAGAAATTAACCAGAGTGAAGATGAAGAAGGTCGATAAGCATAGACTTGTGATAAAATTTCGAGGAATTGATAATATCCCCTACCTACTAGAAGAGAACTATAACGATCCAATTTACAACTTATCCATCCAAAGATGATATCCATGAAGAAAGGACCTGAGAATGATTAGATACGCAACCAAATATTTGATTCCACATTAATATGATGTCGATATTTCAATTGTTCGACTAGTGAGAAATCTATCATTCAGTTAGTTTCTCCGTAGCAATAGTAGATAAGCTTGAGGAAGGCTTACATATTCCGGTTATTTTGAATGTAGATTCCCAGACTCGTGTAAACACTAATGCGAAAGGTTTCAAGTAAATATGGAATGTAGTGATTGTACATTCCACTAACGAATTACCTTCCAAAGATGGAAGACACCAATTAAATTTTCAAACAATAATATTTGCATCGAATTTGTGGGCTGAAACTTGGGCAGTTAGTTGCTTCAAGGATATTAAGATAGAACTAAATAAGTTAATGATCTAAAAACCTTTTTGAATTATTGAGACTTTCATTTTGTTCAAAAATGCTGCTGGTTTTGAACTACTCCATTTGTGGAACAAACGATGAAGACGAACTCTTCGAGTTGCTAGCCCCTTAGAATTGATAATTTAAATTTGTAGTTCACGTCGAAATAGCTTCATTCAAGAAGGGAAGGTAGTTTTCACATCCAAATGGGCGCCTCAAGCTTTCAAACATGGAATGTGGGGATCATCGAAATTTCATGATTGAATTTCCCTCAATGGAGAGTATATTAATATAACGTTTCCATCTATTTTTTAGGGTAGTTACTTTAAAGATTTTTTGCTTGATGCAAATTCAAAGATAGGATTTGCGAAACAAAATACTTAAATCCAACTTTCTGAATTTATGATACTGCAACATTACCCTTAAATACGATCCACTGTACCATTTGTTATGGAAATGAGAGGCATCTTCACAGGGTCGGTCCTGTGATTTTCAGGGCTTGAGGCAAAGTCTGTAAATTAGGTCTCCAGTAAAAGTAATGTAAATACAAAATTCAATAGTGTATTATGCGACCCATTACTAACTTAAAGACTAACATTAAAACAACAGCCAAATATATTATAGAAAAGATTTATACTATAAACCATCAAAATCAACAATGTTTCAAACAATTAGTTAAATACTATTTCTCTTACTATTTTAGAGGCAAAAAATTAGTTAAATACTATTTTAGGTCAGAATCTGAAAAAATATGTAGAAAAATTCGAAGATTTTATCTTGGTCTTGATGATCAAACAAAAATTAAGATGAGTTTTTTAGTACTTCTCTAAGTAGAGCTTCATTATCACATTGAAGAGTTTCACAGTTGAGTTTAAGGGCATCATAATTGGCTTTGAGAAGGCCATAATCTATCTCTAATTGTTTAGTCTTCCACCGTGCACGGCGGTTTTGGAACCAAACCGCCACCTGCCGTAACCTATCATTCTATCAAATTATGTCATTCAAATTAACTATAAACTGTTTTACACATGATAGGAGATAGCATTAGGAAAATTTTCTATGTACGGTAAACCTTACACTATGTCTCTGCATAGCATTAGGCAAATTTTCTATATAGCATTAGGAAGATTTTACTCATGTCTCTGCATTTTCAAGAAAGTAACCATGTATACAGTATATTACTCATGAACTAACTATATATATCACTTGGAAAAAATCTTATAACTTTCATCGTTCTATCAACAATGATCCAAATACCATTTTGTATCCATTTTGAGTACTTCGAACCCCAAATGAAAGATATGTGAGGTAACTACTTCCATTTTAAAATTTACAATCTCTGCAAAGCTTCAAATGTTCTCTTCAAATAAAAATATATACCTTCAATTTTTGTGATCGGTAAGTAATCATGTTTCTCACCATGTGATAACATTAAAATTCCTAAATGCTAATACCAATATAACTATCTTCAAAAATTAAAACATAACCCAAAATTTATCATTCAACTCCAGAACACTTTCCAAACCCTAGACATAAACCATGATCATAAATCAAACTCATCATCTTTAGATACAAAAGGAAATATTTCCTCAAAATTTAATAAGTTTTGAGCTCCCGATGAAAAATCTTTTTATATTTAATCCATGAAAATGTCATGCTCTTATTTCATAGAGATGTCGTTGACCTATCACCAATGCATAATCCCTCTTGTATATCGCATAAAGACAGAGAATCAATTGATTCATGGTAAACTCAAATCCCTCGATGATGTATTATTTGACAAGCAATTAATTTTTCTGTATTTTGTGATGAGAAGGTTCAGTGGATGCACATTGACGTGGCAGGTCTGGCTTGGAATGATAAGAATAAAAGAGAACCAACCACACCCCACAACTTTTTAATACGGAAGAGCACTGTCGAGGAATCAGAGGCAATTTCCTCTGGTGATCAAGAGCCCATGTGGAGTAGCATTTGAAGCGGCGGCTGTTAAACTAATATGATCATCAACTTAGATAGAAACTTAAAAATAATCAGATTATTGTTTTATTAGGTAAAACTAATAACATACATATATACGCATAGGCACACCTGCCTTATTATTTAGCTTTGTATTTTCTTTGCTAGAGGCTTTTGATTGTGACCATTGTTTTGTGATTTTGGATATTTGTTGATTTTTAATTCGCCTGTGCATTATGTAAGAGCATGTCAAATCCTATGCTTAATATAGTTTTGAGTTGGGCTTTCAATCAGTTTTGGAATTTTGGTCATTGCACAGGTTTATATTTAAAAAACAAAAAAAATAAATTTTAGGGGAAAAAAAGGAGATTTACGAACTAAAATTGCGGTGGAGAAATATTATTGCATAAATTCTAATTCCCGACTGAATTTTTCTTGGTCAGTAAATGGTGACTTTTCCTGACCAATTGCAATGGTTGGCCAATGTCTACTACCACAACTTGTGATTTCATGAGAAGTAGTACTTCCGACCAGTATACGACTTTTTCTGACCCAAAATATCGTCACAAAAAAGTTGTATATTTACTGACTAACATAATTTTGGTAAGTAAAAAACTCTACATTTTTCGACTAACATGTACTCTAGTTGGTGAAAACTTTTGCTGGCTTACTTTTAGCTACCAGCTGCCGATCAAAATTTCTAGTCAGTGAATGGATTTACTGTCTAATATTGGTCTTTTAGCAACCAATTTTTTCCATCAGTGAGACTCTTATTTCTTGTGGTTGTTAACTATTCCTTTTTCTATTAGGTCGACGATGTAATATTAAGAATAAGGATGATTATATTGCCACCATGAATATTTTTTTCTGCCACACTTTTAAACATGTTTTCAGACTTAAATTGTTACATAGCAAAATAAAATAAGCAATCACAAAATAGAACATTCATAATTTTTTCTTTCCTCTCTTATAGTCTTACATACACCCCAAGTATCACAAATATTAACCTTAACCTACAAAATTTATAGTAAAACATCACACACATATACCGACCTTAAAGATGGATGATTATGACCTCGTTTATAAAGATATGAGTTGTATAATTATTCCTAGTCAACAAGTAGGTTATTCTTATTATTTTGTGTTGGGTTTTTGATACCCAATAATCCGGGTGATGATTTAAAATAGTTGACAGATTATTTATAGACACCATGGACTTGGCTCGCTCGAAGACGAACTGCACATTTGAATGGCCCAAGTTTTAGTTAGTGTTTGGCTTTGGGATATTAGTGTGGGTTTGGAGTAATTGGTGATCCATTCTTTAGTTTGTTGGGCTACTTGGTCTTGGCCCAAATGGGGAGAAGAAATGTCTTTGGCCCATGTTGTTGACCTAAACCAACCCTTTTATATGTATTATGCTCCCAGTTGTTTTTTCTTATGGTGTGTGGCTGTGTGTGAGTTCAGGGAGAGAAGGCCAAGAGAGAGAGATGGCCAAGAGGTGAGGAGAAGTCGGGTTTGGTAAAATTTGAGCCGGGTTTGGGGAAAATTGAGAGAGTTTTCACCATTGTTGCTTTTGTTTCTTCCCGTCATCACCATCATCCATTCTCCTTTGTGGGAATTGAGAAAACCAGAGCTGTCCAATGTGAAGGTGAAAGTCTTGGGTTGAGCCGAGGTAAATCAGTGTTCGTTTGATTGTTTTCTGAGCCCGGAATCAAGATTTATCGAGAGATTTCTGCGACAAATGATATCAGAGCTTGTGTTTTTGATAAATCTGTGATTTTTGGGGATCAAGATGGGATGGAAACTGGCCACAATCAAATATGAAATTGGGTAGAATTCTGGACAAAATTTGTGAAAAATTCAGATCTGTTTTTGCGTTTTCTGGCGAAATCAAAAAGAGTTTGGAGAAACGGACACCACCATTGGACTGTGTAGGTGGAGAGAAGCCAGAAGAGTGGTGCATGGAGATCTGGCTAGGGCATGTGGAGGCACGTCGAGTAGATTTCGACAATGGTGTCTTCAGATAGAATGTTGGCGTAGATGAGGCGGACCCTGCAGTGTTATCGAATTTCAGTTTTGAGTAATGCATGAAAGTTGGATGATTTTTCCCTTGGACGTTTAGGTGCCGGGTGCTGTTTTTGTGTTGCTACGATTATCGGTGACTTTAGGATGAACAATGACGATCCTAAAGTGGTGAAAAATTCGCATCTCTCGATATTTACGGACCTTCATACGTGATCCACTCGGTATCGTGTTCTTTACCTTTTATTATTGCAGTTAAAATTATTGTGTAGGTTAATTATTTATTTTTCCACATTAGAAATCATCATGTGAGGTGACGTTAGGTTTGGGGTTACCGTGAAGAGGTAACCATTGCCTATTACTAGACCAAGGAATTACATGTTATTTATTTGCTTTAATTTTTTGTGAATTTGTTGCAAATTTTTTATACTTGAGAATTGCATGTGACCTTAAGAAAGTTTATTTGATCATTCTATGTGAATTATACTTTGCTTGTGGTCATTATTTGGTATTGACGGCAAATGTAGGTATAAAGTAAGTGCGAGAAATAAAATATGTTTTAACTGTGGTAAAATTTGGATATGGTGAAAGAGATTGTCCAGGAGAATAATAAAAAGAAAGATAATATGAGATTTGAGGCGAATGTGACTTTAGGGTATAGTGGTGATCCTAGTGAGGTTTATGAGAGAGTAAACCTAGTTATTGCATGTCCATCTATGTGTGATCCTTTCTGCATGTGTGTGTTTGCCTAATTTGTTGCATGATAGTATGCTGCATTTCAATACGTTTGATATGTGATTTGCATGAATTTGGGATAATATGATTATTTGGTGTAATTGCTTGCATGCATAGTCGGTTAAGATACATTAGCAGTGGGTTATATGTCTTTCGGTAAGGTGGAGTATAGATGCCTGAAGGTGCATTGGTGATATGCATGGGGATGTAGAGTGTGACATTTAGATCATGAGTGGAGATGTGATCAAATGTGTAGAATCTTTTATTTGTGAAAGAGACCCTGTACAGGTGGAGTGTGAAAGAAGCACTTCAATCATTTCTACAAGGTGGAGGCCCATTATCCACGTAAGTTGAGATTGACAATGAGCTACCACCTAATGAATATATTGAGTATTTCGGTCCAGACTACACTCTTCATGCTCCAACATGTAACATGGAAAATAAGAATTCTTGTGAATCCTTGAATAAAATTAGAGAAAAGATCCTTGATAATCTCTCGAAACTTCAGCATGCAACAAGCGTACAGTTCCAAGAACGACCTCCTGACACTGAACTTTTACAGGTTCATAATTGCAACTGTTTCCTTAAAGTATTATAGGAACCAAATTTTTGTCAAATATAAATCCTTCATGTTGTTTATTTAGACATCTAAAAATAACAGATTCTGGTTATAAGTTTGCCAATGTCTTCTGTTCACAAAATAATTCTCTCGATTTAAAACTACCGCGAGTGTACGAATCGTAACAAGTAATAAAGTGGATTTTTAAAAGTCCGAATATCGTCCCACAGAATCTAATTGAGTAAAAATATGGTCCAAATGCAAAAAGCCCTAATTTCAATTAAAAAACCTAATTTCTCAATTAGAAACCCTAATCTCGAAATTTTTCTAATTAAACGATTCAAACACTCAAGTAAATGAAATTATGCAAATTCAAAAGCTAATTTATGGAAATGAATCAAAATAAAATCACTAGGATCACGAATCCCTAATTGAAGCTATAAAAACCCTAATTTCATAAAATCAATGACCCGATGGAAATTTGCCAATTCAATGTTCCTAAACCTATCCAACATATTCTCTCGATATATATTAGACCTATTCTTGCACACCACCAGCCTATATCTCTATGGATGATACAAATATACAAGAATGCATGTGGTTTTGTGAACAATTAGAGAATTGCATAAAGCATAGGGGTATATCTCTATCCCTTATCGGACCCTATGTTGATTTACACCTTATCGGACCTATTCCACTTCTCTCGAATGCAAGAAATAAGTCATCAACACTACACAATCATTGGCCACTAATTGCGGAAGAAAATCAATGCATATAAACAATCAAATTGTCCAAACGAATCTATATATTAAATTCATGAAATATGGAATTAAAATAACAAACAATGGTTTATAGATCACCTAGTGAATTGAAAATCTAGCCTAGAATATTCATAATTACCGAATAACAAATGAAATTAATAAATTGAAAGAATAGCACTCGTATGAAAATTTCTTGAAATCTTGAATGAAGCCTTGAAAATCCGCTTGAATTCTTGTGGAATTGGCCTCAAGATCATGTTTCTTGCCTCCAAAAGTTGTAATTTTCTTCTCCCTGAACGTTCTATCCTATTTCTGATAAATTTTGGCTTTTATATCATGTTCTCACGGAGCCCCGAAAGAGTTTCAATTAAAAACGCAAGTTCAGAATTTTTTTTGGTTGTTATAGCCATGCAGCCACATGGTTCAAGTGAAATGGCTATATGAAATCCTTGCAACCTTCGTGCGGCCGCATGCCATAGTTCTGTGTGGCCGCATGGTTGTAACTTTCTACCTTGCTGTTTTGGTCCCTGAACTTCGTTTTCTCTTTTCTTGATCTCTTTTTTTTCTTTCCTTTGTTCTTTCATCAAATATTGACTCCTAATTGACGTTTGGGTCAATCAATTCCTTGATCACTTGCTCGGCTCTTTTTTTGATTAATTGCAATTTAGTCCTTCATCTTCCACTTTTCTTCAATTCAGTCCAATATTACTTCTTTCTTCCTCTGATCGTCAGTATCATCCTCAATCTCATACTTGGCATATTTTCATTCTCGTTTTGCACTTTAGCTCAACTTTCAAATATTTGCACCTCTGGTCCCCAAACTATCGCTTTGTTCCATTTTGGTCATTTTTCAGCTCTTTTCTTCTGAATTTCATCTTTTTCATAGAAACACTTACATTGCATGAATTTAACGAGATTAAGTCACAATTCAACTATTTTGTCCATGTTTAAGTCATGTTTGTAAGCTAAATAAGTGTGTAAAAACACACTTATCAAATCCCCCAAACTTAAACTATTGTTTGTCCTCAAACAATGTAGTGACTTAATGCTAAACAAACATGGCTTAATAGCTTGCCGTGTCTCAAGATTG